TGTGTGTGTGTGTGTGTGTGTGTGTGTGTGTGTGTGTGTGTGTGTGTGTGTTCGTGCTTTCAGACAGCCGTGGAAGTTTTCCGCAGGATGATCCTGGAGGCAGAGAAGATGGACGGTGGCGTGCAGCCAGGAAAAACGTCCTGCTCCATGATGTAGAGCCGCCCAATCAACACACAGGACACTGCACTGGGATATCCCGTTACTTGAAGGCTAGCTGCCAGTTCTCCTCCACCTCAGCTGACTCCACCCCTCCAGGGTCTTAAATATCCAATACTGTCTATTTATGGCTCTGATTCCACTGTTATTTATCAGTAATTCCTATTCCCTTTTGTCATCCTCATTTTTCTTTGTGTGTTTGATTTTAAAAAAAAAAAAAAAAAAAAAAGGATGAGTGGCGGTCTTCTATTTCCCACAATCCACCCCTCCTCCATCTCTGTGCTCGGCTCCGATGCAAAACACAGAACTTGGGTGTATCAGAAACAAATGTTTTCCTGTGCTCGGTTATAACGACTACTGTAACTAAGGTCAGAGATAGTAATGGCTTGATGCATCTTAGCTTCTCATTACGCAGCTTCCATATAGGCAACGAGTCCTTCTCTGTTTTAAACAACAAGAGATAAGAGAAATGTCATGTCTGCCATGCATACGCTCTGAAAATGGATACGTTATCGCAGACGTTTCTTCTGATGCATCACCAGCTGTTTGGTCCCTCTAATATATTCAGCTCTTTTTCTACTTAATCTCCACGCAGTACCCACTTCTCCGTCCCTCAGTTTTCATAGCGGTTACTGTCAGCCCAAAAAAATCTGCATCCATTTTCTAATGTTGAAAATGTTGTACAAATGTTTTTGATTGTAATCATTAAAGCAAAAAGTGGTTATGTAAAGCAGGGTTGAGTGTGGTTTTTTCACTGGCTGATGGGTAAGATTTTTGTCACCCAGGAGGCAAAGCAAGTTTATTTCGTTACCTTTGAAATATAATTAAAATTGCTTAACAGAAGGGATAAAGTCAATGAAAAGACTAATAAATACAGCAGATGCACAACCTTATAAGGATAAAATACACTGAGTATGTTACTGGTTATGTTAGAGGTACTTGCGCAACAATCAGGATTTTAGCAATATTAAAATCTGGATCTGGCGACAGTTTGCTCACTGTTATTCAAATCTGATCAAACTTTAATCAATATTAAAAGTAAGGAATGAGGTCAAAGGTCAGTACAAAGTCCTGAGAACTTGCAGTAGCAGCATGTGCTCTGAATGAGCTGAAGTTGTCTGAGTACCTTTTTGTTTTGGACGCTAAAGAAAAGACCATTACAACAACCCAACCTGCTGAAAATGAAACTCTTGCCTGAACGTGGATCCTCTTAACTCCTGGTGTTTTTTTAGTACGCTACTTGATGTGGCTGTCAAAAAGAAACCTTCCGAAGAGATAAGAATGAGAACAGTCCCTCACTCTTTGTCAAACTGCTTTTATTCGTCAAAGGAAAGGATTGACAGCAAATTTAGCTTTGAATTCACACATGCGTATGCGCCTCAAATATACTCCAATTCATTGCCATTTTAGAAGGTGTTGCACATGTCTTCTGTACAGCACTTGATGTCGATGTAAGCATTCATCCTCAGCATTATGCACTCTGACAGAGCCATGCATTTCTGCTTTTGGCCATCTAGGAAAGGATAAAAAAAAAAGGAAAAGGATTTAAGAAAAGTAGAGTCAGTATTTGACATATTGACATGATTCACAAACGGTTTTAATTTTTTGACACGAAGCTGACTTTCTACTAAATGTTACGATGCCTGGTACTGTTTCGAGGTCTCAAGCTATTTTTTTTTCTTTACACATTTTTCAGGCCGTGACCTTAGTTTTGGTCCCATGCATGCACACGTTTTTATTCAATGAACTTCTCCTGTTACTTGACTATAATTTACAGCAAAGATAATATTCATATTTGCGTGTGGTAATCAGTGTTTGTTAGTGATAGAATAGCTTGAGTATGTAGAGAAACTCACATGGTGCACTGAGGAATTGGACAGCAGCGCAGACATTCTTCTCTGGCTTGCAGGTCTCGACAGTGAGCTCACAGGTTCCTCCAGCTTCTTTGGAGATACACCGGTGGCAGTTCAGGGCTTCACCTGAAAAAACACAAAAAAAAGACATTAAAGCAGTCATTGTGTTTCTGCCTCTGTGGCCTGATCATAGTGTGTTTTCTGTCGGAATCTCTCCAGGAACTATTGCAAATTATTAGTCAGATTTAATCTATTTAGGTGTTAGAGGTCTGCATGAAGCCACATACGATCATGCTGTGCTCACACAGATGAATTTCTTAGAAAAGATTCCCAGAATCTGCTGCAAAATGAAGAGCATGTCTTCGATTGCCGGAGAAGTCTGCTGATATTGTGTTCCTCTACAGTAAAGACGAAAAGAGGAAGCAGACGTCCCCGTTGCACAGCAGCAAAGGTTGTGTTCATTCAGTGGAGAATCAGTGACATGACTCACCAGCTGCAAACAGCAGGGTGACAGCTAAAGCTAAGACCAACAACTTCATCGTTCTGTCATACACTGCAGCCTATGAGAGACAAAGCACAGATTTGATTATATACCATACACAACGCACAATACTTCCAGCACTACAGATTCCATGGCGTGAAACTGTGAGACTCTTGAGTCTACTTTTAGATGTGATTATCTCATGATTTTTATCATAAAATACTATTTTATGCATGCACAGTAATATTGATATCTGCAAAAAAAGTCTAACTAATATTGATTTGAAATTCATTGTTAATAAAACATATTTTAAAAAAGAATGGAAGGTTGGAGTTACAAATTAAATATTGTTTCATGTGTTCATACCTTGCTGGTTAGTCTGTCTCCGTTTCTGCCAGTGACTGAGATGTGTTCACCTTTCCTTCCCTCTTTTTATACCCGTTCATACTTTGAGCCGTCATGGTAACGTCCCGCTAAGTGGTGTTTCTCTGATAAGTCTATTATGCTCAGCTCCTCACTCGCCCTGGGTACACTGTGTTCAGAGGTTGCAATACTCAGATTCCTGCATTATGCAAGAGCTGGCCACCCTTTGTCCACAATACAGTATATACGTAATTGATGAGGCTTTTGCAGATATTAATATATGTGTTTGTCACTGACTCAGATAAAGATTTATATTAGCTGGATTTAAAACCTTAAAAGGATATTAATGAAAGGTACAGTATGTTTGCTTCAGGTGGAGTACGTCTATGACCGATAAGGTGTAATACCTTTATCTCAGTGCTCTTTGACTAACCTTGGCTCAAGACTCATGAATTGACTCGTAAACAAAGCCTGAATTGACTTGAACTAGCACAAACTAATGAAAGAGACTGAAAGACTGGAACTCTCTCCCTCAGCTGTCATACACATAAAGTAAATTTAGCACAAAAAGAACAACATACTTCCTTTAGTGCAGAAAACAAATGTACCTCGATTCGATTTTACTGAAGTCCAATTCCATTCTCTTAAATCTACACACCTAAGACAAATGTTTTACACTATACGTGTTGCTTTGTTTGACTGCGCTGTAGTGTAAATGCAAAAGCTTGTTGTACTTTCTTCAAGTTTCAAATTGTGTGTTTTATGTACATTCTATGCCCCTAGAGAGTGAGAGAGATAGGGGGTGCTGAAGTATATTATAAAAAGGGTTGTATCTGTTTTGTATCCTGCTCCACCTGCCTAGCCTTAAAACTGGTGGTCTTTGATGTTGCAACTGAGGGGAATTTCCATTGGGTCAAGGTCTAAGAAGATCCAGGGATCTCATCTGGATCAGCATCAGAGAAACTACAACTGAGAGTGATCCGTAAAGAAAATCTGGAAGGAAATCTGCTTTGGAGTAGGACATCTGTGCTGCTCTGCTAATCCTGGAGCCATCAAAACTCAAACATGGACTGGGAACACACCTTGTTTATTCAACATTTTCCCAGTTACTTGCCCAGCTTATCAGAAGACAGATTTCTTGTTTGCACTGGGTCATACATGTCCTTTCACCTCTGCTTGAACTTTCCATTTCTGTTTATTTGCCTGTCTTGCCTCCCCTTGTCTGGACACCACCACTATATTATTCCGCAACCCCCAACTCAGTGCAACATCACTCCCAAAGCCCACTCATAGCAAAATCTCTCTCCCCTCTATTGTTTTGCACCCCCTCGAGCCAAACTCCAAAATCAGCATTGGCACATGTAAGGGAAAGTGTCCATGTGGCAGAATGTCTAAACCCCCCATTGTTGTGCTTTTGTTGCCTCTGCCTCGCGATACCGCCACCCTCTCTATTGGCCATATATATCTGGGCGTCCACATTTTTCAACTCTTAGACTGTGCGACTAGTTTGGAACAGCTAACAGTGGAAAATGTCTCAGTACTCAGGAAAGGTGAGTACCACAACAAGGGTTGGGCCTTCCCAAACTTCATCCTGTGAAACCCAAGCAAATGTCAGCCTCAAAGGCATTAATGTGGCTGACTGGTCCAACTTTTAACAATGTTGATTGGCATCTTTCTGACTATTTGCAGCATTTTCCATACAAGTATTTGTTAGTAGGAAAGTATTTGAATCTTTATTGTTGTGGCAAACCCCCCCCCAAAAAAACAGATCGTGTTCTATGAGGGAAAATGTTTCACTGGGAGGAAACTGGAGATCTGCAGCGACTGTGACAACTTCCAGGACCGTGGCTTCATGAACAGGGTAAACTCTGTCCGTGTGGAGAGCGGGGCCTACATCTGCTTTGACCACCCAGACTTCAAGGGCCAACAGTACATTCTGGAGCATGGAGAGTACCCCGAATTCCAGCGCTGGAATGCCCATAACGATCACATGGGCTCCTGCAGGCCAATCAGGATGGTAAGAGTGTTTGTGTGAGAGAGAGAGACCTTAGGGACAGACAAATATTTGGCTGTTAAAAAAGAAGAAGAAAAGAAGCCTGGCGGATTGGCATATTTGTGAGCTCATTTGTTCACATCTGTTTTTTCAGATAAATCAAAGAATCATTCTTTTAGTTTGTAATAATGCACAAATTGCTCTTGCAGTGCAGAGGCATATTAACAGCTTAAGGGATTTAACAGCTCATACTGATAAGATTAGCTGAAAGAAAATCACTAAAAGCACTTGAGACATACTTTGTCGACTGAGGGCTATACATATCGCCCTCTATGAACATTTTACCTTGAGATTTCAATAGGCACAACTTTCAGTGCACTCAATACAGTGCCTGTATAGAAGACCTTGGCAATGAGTTGAAGGCGAACATGTTCACTGTAACTCAGCGAGAGGATTTGTCATTATCCTCCCCAGCATGGAGAGCACTACAGGATGGAGCTGTTCGAGGGAGACAAATTCTCAGGCCAGTGTGTGGAGCTGTGCGACGACTGTCCGTTCCTGCAAGCACGAGGCCTGACCAAGAGCTGCATCAACTCCATCAAGGTTTATGGAGATGGAGCGTAAGTATCTCTGCAGCAGGGGGACATTTAGTTACATTTGATCTGCTTAGGGCACAAAAGCAACAACATGTGTTAGAATGTTCTAGTTTAATTTTGATTGAAATTGATTGAACTATATGTCTACATTTTTAAAGAGTCAGTTCACCCAAAACGTATTTTTCCTTTTTTTGGGAATTGAAGCCTTTATTGTCTGAAGACTGTAGACAGAACAGGAGACATTAGAGGAGAAAGAGAGGGGATAACATGCATCCACTTGTAGTCTTTTTGTTTGCTTGTTGAAGACTTGACATAGATGTCCATGTGTAAGATATTGGCCTTCATCACAATACAATATAGAAGAATAATGTAATGATAATGTTGTTTGCCGTGTTGTTTTAATGTTATCCATTTATTTTCCCAAACAGCTGGGTGCTGTATGACGAGCCTAACTACCGCGGCCGCATGTACATCGTGGAGAGAGGAAACTACTGCACCCACGTGGAGTGGCAGGCGGAGAACCCCAACATCCAGTCTATTCGCAGGGTGGCAAACTATTTCTAAACCATCTCACTGTCACAGGCAATGTGCCAGCAGAGATGAAGTCATCCACCGAGGAACAACACACCACACTGTCAAGTCATCTGACGCTGACTCTGTGGGGCTATAACATAATAAAAGATAAAGCACATGTTTCACAATGCTTGTTGTTTTATTTTTGTATGGAATACTTCAAAAGGCTGAAATAAAGTAGTGATCCTACAAAACCTTCAATCTTATTTTTTTTTCATCCTTTTATGCTCACTCAGTGTGGAACTCTAAACTTAACAACCACATTGCATTGTAGAAACAGCTCCAGGCTATGATTCAGGTTATTGCTGTCTCTTATACGCCATAACTACGAAACCTTTCCCTCATACTAATGGATCCATTACCAAGTTACATGATATACTCTGGTATTTTTTTAAATATCATTTTTTGGGAAATAAAACTTACAACGAAAGAAGAAAACAGTCACTCAGCCATCATACAAGTGAATGTCTGACAGTCAGCAGTGTCCTCCCTACATACACAGTGTAAAAAGAGAGGCACTTCACATAGGTTGGAGCAGTATCCACACATGCCCCGAGAGCTCTGCTACCACCTAGTGTCATTCATCTATTTTTACTGTGAAGTCGTGACGTTCACCTCAGGGTTTTCAAAGTGATCACAATGGGGGATTTTCAACAGCAGTGACACAAACACATGAAAAACATGTGGATTTGTTGGGCGGATTCTTTCTTGAATAACAAAAGAAAACCAAAGACCAGAAACACTAATTCTGAATAATGTATCAGTGAATGTTGTCCATTCAGGATCTATCCATCTGTATTCAGTTTCTCCATCAAGCTTTTATGATATCATGCACACAACATGTATTTAATGTTGTATTTGACGGCTTTTTACAACATTATTAGCTCATACGTTCATGTTTTTTTATGCACCACTGCATCATTTCCACCCCGGTGCTCTCATTCTTTTAGGAATGTCACACCGTGGCTGTGCCCCGTGGACCTTTAATGAGCACTCATGTGCTTTCTCTTCAAACTGTCATGACAACAGAACACCTATCTTTACAAGGTTTCGCTCTTGGCCTCTATCAAGTTACGGGGTCAATATAGGATAGCTTAATGAGGACATGCTTGGTCTTGAGTTACACTCAGTGGCACTAGTTTGAGGGCGATTACCTATAGCTAACCTCGTTCCTGGGCCATTTGCTGCATGAATTGTCTGGGTGTCACTAGCATGCCATTAGTCTGAATGTCAAAGACGAGAAAGAGAGAGGGAAACTGTGAGCAAAGCTTAATGACATTTTAACAATGTCATTGCTGGGATTTATTATGTTACACTAAGGATTTCCGTTTTGAAAGAGCATTTGAATGCTAAACAAAGGAAACTATAGCAGTGATATTGTATTGTTATTAATAATATATCTATTTTATTTCATTAACAAGCCTTGATTATTTGTTCTGGTGGACGTGTTTCTTCTTAAGTGGGGAGATGACAAAGGAGAAGCATATCCAATTATTAGTCAAGGGATAATGACTTGAAACTTGACCTTTTTGAAGGAAATATTTATAACAGGTATTGTCTGTTGTCTGGGGGACGTGGTGAGTGGGCAGGCTGGCCAATCCTTTGTCACAAAACATCTTTAAAAAAAAAAGAAGAAAAAAAGTCGTGTCACAATTTATGAAACAATTATGAAAAAACACTATTAAAAAAGAATATCATGTTTGAAAATTTGTCTGGCTGACGAATACATTTTAAATAGCATTTATTGTATCTTGTTACTCCAAATTGGGTCAGCTATTTTTAGCATTGCCACTTATGCATAAAAGATCGTTCAGATAGAAATCCCAAAAATGTATTCAACTATTTGCGGGGCTGAAAGACCTATTTTCAAATTGACACGGACAAAGATATACTCTATTATATCCATAGTATATAAAAATACCATGTTCAAATTTGTGCGTACATGCCAATTGTTTTGGTATACTGAAAATACAATTAAAATAAGGACTATGGTTGACTTTATATCTGGTGATAGTTGTTTCATAGTTAAAACGCTTCAATAACACATATTGCGCGGTCCTTTACGTGTGAACAGTAACATCGGTAGACATTACCTAACGATTGAATTTAAAACCCGGTTTAAATAATAAAAACCGAAAAGTAGACTATAAGAAATACCAACTGTGACCACAGAAAGTGCAAGTGTTACTATCAATTGGAACCGGGACAAATACCAACGTGGAAAGCAAACATCTTCCACAAACGCCTCGTTTTCCTTCCATTCGGCTATTTGATTTTATTTATAAAAAAAAAAAACGTGATAACCATCCATACGTGTCTACAATAAAGTCATTTCAGGCGTGTATCTACGGAGTCGTGTTAAGGTCACACGCTGGCTGCCTGAATTCCCCTCTTTGTGTTTACACATCCGGGTTTCCCTGTTTGCAGCCCATTCCCCATTTAGAAGCCATTTTGGACACAGATCAGTAACATGCATGTAAACCCCGACCGACCTCCCGGTGCAGCGGTGCTACTATTCAAGCGAATAACCTCAAAAAAGAGCGCTGAGCTTTCGTCTCGGGCGGTTTAGCGTCTTCCCGTTCGGTTTTTGGATCCACTTCCGATGCGAAACGCTGCACCTTTTCACGGACTAAACAGTCTGGCAGTCAGTTAACCGCTCCTCTCTTTCTTTTTTTCTCTTGCAACATTGTTGCGGCGTCGCGGCTATTGACACGAGTTGTGGTGGTGGTGGTGGTGGTGGTTGAGGCTGCTGGACGGACCGGAGGCCTGTGGTCGTTTTGATCCTGGACGGATGTTTTGGACAACCTGAGTTTTAATGTTCGCGACGGAAAGCGGGGGGAAATATCTGTCCTGTATTCAAAACGGAACATGTCTTTTTCATGGCTGACTTGTTCACTTCTTCTGGGAACTTTATGCGCAGGTAAGCTGCTATTGTTGGTTCCGAAATTTGCAACAGTTTTTTTTTTTTTTTCTCCCCGAGTCGGAGGCAGACAATTTTTTTTTATTTTGCGCGTGTGTGTAATTATATGAGTTTAAAATGTCGACCAGTGAGCGACTTTACGCGTGTTAGTTGTTGAAACTTTGTTGGCAGTGAATACTGAGGTGTCAGCTGTGGGGATTTTATTCTCTTACACATAATCGCCTCCACAAATCTATTTCATACACGGGAATTACTAAGGCAATAGCTGTCACTTTTTGATTAAAAAAAAAGAAGGAAGAAATGAAATTGAATAAAGCCTTTTATGTTGGTTCATTTCCCCCAAAATATATCCAAATTTAAATCTGTTGCGTCCCCCTCGCCTTTCTCAACGGTGGCAGGAATAGAAGGCAGCAGCTGCACCAACATCCTGAAACCTTATAGGCTTGCATCGCGGGTCTGTTTGTGGTTACAGCCTTGATTTGAAAACACTGTCTGAAAATGATTTTCATAAATCAATGTGCGTTGGATTTGACGAGCCAGCAGCTGTTGTCCTGAATCGAAGTTACTGTTGCACAGCTCCAGTGGGTTGCTACCACGTGAAACTGAGCATGAGGGTTGTTTTTCTTTTGTTTGGCTTTTTTTTTTTTTTTTTTTTGCCTGCGTTTGCAACTCGTACGAGAGGTTTCATTGCGAGTCCCTAACAGGTTAACTTCCCCCCCCAAGCTAGATAGCCCCTATAGTTGCTTCGACAACAACAATATCCACCTTTCCCCACCTCAACTTTTAGTTTTTCCACGAACTACATTTTTCTTTTATTGAGGCAGAGCTGTCTCGTGTGTGCCAAATAGCGCTGTAGCTAATGCCTTTATGGTTTATAGATTAGGGCTCGGAGTGTATTGTAAGCTGGCTTCTCCAGAATTCATGTTATGGTGTAAGCCTCGGTAAGTGACAGAGGGAGGGGGTTGGGGAATGATCTTGTAGTAAAAGTCCTCCCGGATCATGTGACCACAGATATCAGAAACGCCATCTCTTGCTCACACACACACATCACTGCTGTGTGTGTGTGTGTGTGTGTGTGTGTGTGTGTGTTTGTGTGTGTTTGTCCTTACCACTTTCCTTCCTTCCTTCCTTAATAATGACCATGATGTTTGGTCATTGCATGCATCCCTATATGCTATAATAAAATCCATTGTATGCTTCTGGACAACTAGATGCATGTTGTGTGAGTGTGTACGTGTGTGTGTGTGTGCGCGCGCGCGCGCGCGCGCGCCTGTAATGGGTTGGTGGGGTAACACTGGGGGATGGGCGGCCTCCTATAGGCAGGGATTTAAAGAGACATCCACTATTTTTTCTGTGAACAAAGATTAGGCAAGAACGTCCAAGCGACACTGTGAACGACATGTACAGCATGCTATCTGCTTCAGTATTCATCAAAAACACGTCTTGCGTGTGTTGCTTGAGTGTGTCCAACGTTTAATCCACAAAGAGGAGTGATAAAAACCCTTTTTCAATTGTGTAAACCGCAGGAGACTGACAGCTATTGTTGTATCTCAGGCTTGGTGAGGGAAACTATTTCCTGTTAAATGACAGTAAAAGCCCTTAAAGGAGAGAAGGTGTTATCTGTCTCTCCAGATGTGTTGCACTCCAGCAGGATACAAGAGTCTTTATCTATGGAAGTAGCATCCCGGTGTGCGGCGTGCTTCTATATCACATGAGGGCATACCATTGTCTTTCTATAGCTAATTAAATTCTGTCATTTTTTTCCCCCTCCTTTTTAGTTGTTACTCGCTGAAAAGATGGTTTGGTGAATGGGATTACGCCGAACTACTATTCAGTAACAATTTCTTAGCCCAGAGGAAACTCCCTTCTTACTACAGAGAGCTCCCAAACTTGGCCGCGTGCCAGAGTGATGATAGAGGCTTTGCTCAGAGATGTTTCTTCGTGGCATCGAGCGGATCCTTCGCCATATGTCTGTGCTTCCGCTGTTGATTTTCAATTCATTACGATGTGAGCTGACTGAGGCCTTCTGTCCTTCTCAGGGTACAGTCTGGGCGAAGCAGAGACCCGGGAGTGTGTGTACTACAACGATAACTGGCGTACGGAGAGGACCAACCAGAGCGGCTTCGAGCGCTGCGAGGGCGAGAAGGACAAGCGACTGCACTGTTATGCCTCCTGGCTGAACTCCTCAGGGACCATCAAGCTGGTGAAGAAAGGTTGCTGGCTGGATGACTTCAACTGCTATGACAGGTCGGATCACCGAGTGGGGTCATCGTGCACTTCCATTTATATTTTAGGCATCTGGCTCGCACTCAGAGCGACTGGCAGCGAGTACAACACAAATATCTGCCTCAGTACCCATCTCTAGTTCAATACATCTATATTTCTTAGACCCGGGACCATTTTTTTGCCACAGAAATTAATCATCGAATGGTGAAACTATTTGTCAATAAGCCAATGAACTGAAAATATTGGAAATATTTGCTGGTTTTGGCCTCTCCAATGTGAAGACTAGCCGTTTTTCTCCTTTTTTTAAAAACATCTCTGTAAATGGAATGTGTTTGGGCTTTAGTCTTGTGGTTGGACAAAACAAGGAATTCAAAGATGTCATCTCATCAAAACAAGTAGTTACAATAACATCTCACGCTTTGGTAACATTTAATGGGCATGCAAACTTCACATAAAACATGACATAAAATGTAGATATCCTGGATATATTACCAAGGTAACTGTGGTTCATTTGCATATAGATGTTTTTATTTTTATTTAAATGTATTTGCAGTGCTTTATCACCAGTATAAATCTCAACACACATTACATACACTCAGTTGCCAGTTTATTATACAGAGAGGTGTGTCTGCTGTATAACCGACCCTCATTGATATAAATGGGGTGGACAAAATAATAGAACCGCCTGTCAGTATAATGCGATACAGTTCAACAGCACCACAAATGACATCCTCCAAAATGATCGTACAGTTGAATCAACACCTCTTTCAAACGGTTTCAAGCAAAACTGAACACGGGATTTATTGAAAGGCTGTTGTTGTATTAGACTGCTTTATCTTTGGGTAGGTGTACCTAATGAACTGGCAACCGAGTGTAAGTCACAGCACACATTACACAAGTTGGCAAACAAAGACACGTCTGCGGACACTGCACACGTACACACTGCACATGACACTAATATTAGATTGCTATAGGGCTGTAATTGACACTTAATTTTAACTATCAATTAATCTGTCTAGTCTTTTCTCAATTGATTGTAATCTAAAAAAAATTAAAACTTGTGAAAATTAAAAAATGCCCGTTGCAGTTTCTCAGAGTCCAAAGTAGCACATTCTAATACCTTGTTTTTTCAACCTCGCAGATATTCAATTTTCAATAATGTAAAACAGAGAAAAGCAGAAAATATACACATTTAAGTATCTGATATCAGCATATGTATAACATTTGTTCTTGTAAATAACAAACAAGTGAGCTCTCAATTAATTAAAGGCAGAGGCAAACCGGGAGGCACACAGCCTCCTGAATCCACACATGCAAGCAAGTGTCTCTCCACACACAGAATACTCAGCACAGCCTGTCAAATGGAAATTATTTTATATATTTCCCGGTACAAAATGTAAGGCCAGCCAAACAGGTTGAGGTATGAAAATTCAATTTCCGATCTTGATATAGAACCAGACTCTATTAGATGGGGGAAGTGATTTCCACATGTATGAATTGCTGTTTGGTAAATGCTCTGCAGCCAGCAAGAGCTCACATTCATTCTTTCTGGGAGTAACCAGATAGTCTGCATCTGGACATGGACGGTGCAGAGTACAGCTCAGTGTCCACAGCCTGATGATGGCGGATAGATATGGTGGCACTGGGCCACTCAGGATTTGTAAGTCAGGAGGAGAATTTTAAACTGGCTTTATCAGCAGCCAGTGCAGAGCTGTGTGGCACGATCAAACTTTTTAGTCTCCAAAATGCTGTGGCTTGAATATTAAACAAGCTGGAGACCTCTGGCGGCTCATGAAGGCAAGCTGGAGAAAACGTAACTCTAATAATCGGCCCCAGAATACATATCCGTGCGTACAAAGAATTAACTATTAGCTGCCAATAGAATCGGGTTTTAGCGTTTCTATTTTTTTATATTTGCTAAGGTAGTTCTAAAATTGAGCTGCAGGTTTTTTTTGAGAATGTCGGGATAAATTTGAGCACTATTATGAGTGTTTATTGCCCCAGAGGGAGATTTGTTTTCAAAGTCAGTTTAACACCAAAACATACAGATAAAGACATTAGTCCACAACGTCTTCATGTATGCGTTCATCCATCCCAGCTCATGACTATGTCAACAAGGCAGTATGTTCGGGGCTGCTATTGCAGAAGGGACTAAACCGCTGCGTTAATCTGAGTGAAACGCCCCATGGTCTGACAGTTCCTTAAGTGTTCTGTATGTTCATAATCAATGAGGTTAATAAGACAACATCTTCCCATTGAAAGAGACTGTGCTTATTTAAGTACCCAATAGAAGTCTTTGTTGGTTGATACACTGGCAATGTTACCAGTATCCACTACCAAGGAGTGCGTGGGTTAAAGCCAGAGTCCTGACAATAAACAGGACAAATATTTTTCTTTGATACAAGATTCAGATGCTCACCTGCTTGGTTCTTGATGTCTTAAATCACAAAATGCTACTTTAGTTTTACTATCATGATGTTTTAGCCCTATTGTTAATTATTGAAACTGCTCGACATCTTTGTTGTTTGGTTTTCGAAGCAATAACGTAGGTGTGTCATCTGCTTTTTTCTTTTTAGGCAAGAGTGTGTCTCCATGGAGGAAAACCCTCAGGTCTTCTTCTGCTGCTGCGAGGGCAACTACTGCAATGAACGATTCATCCACCTTCCTGACATGATTGGCAGTGGCAACCAAGGTGAGCCGCAAATGCATCTCACATATAGTACAAGTGAAAAATAGGTCTTTGGCTTAGCTTTTCCCCTCCGATTAGTGGGAGTGAAGCTTAGCCCTGCATCTAGCAGTAAAAAAAGCATCATGTGTATCACACTGATGCATGTTACACAGCCTTTATGATTTTTTTTTTCCTTTTAAATGATGCTTCGTTATAAGAGATGTGTTAATTTACCTTCTTGACATTTTACTTTTCTTTAAAATGCCTTTTTAATAGACGAATAATCTTTTTTTGCATAGTCCAATACTGATTTTCAGTTGACAAAAAGTAGACTTTAAATCCATTATATCTTGCCTATTTGTTTTTACATTTACTGCCTGTACAGTGACTCAGTCAGTTATGATCAAGGTTGGAAAATCTCTAGATAAAATGTTACACGTCTCTTTTAAAATCAGGTCATAGAGTCCGTGAGGGACGTCAGTAATACTGCATACAGCCTACAACGGCATAAAGCTGACATGCTGTAATTATTCTGTTCCGCCCCGACAGTGAAAATCCGGCCTCCACCCCGAGTGCCGTCCCTGCTCAACGTGCTCGTGTACTCCCTGCTGCCTCTCTGTGTGCTGTCCCTGGCCCTCATTCTGGCCTTGTGGATGTACCGCCACCGCAAACCTCCCTACGGCCATGTGGACCTGAGCGAGGTGAGAGAGGCCATATACCCCAGCCTGACTCTCGTTTAAAGTAGTAATCTGTGGCGCAGAGAGATCAGTCTTTCCCCGCATGTTTGTTTCTGCACTGCTACGCCTCATCACCCCATTGTTACATTCCTGTAATCTTTCCTTGTCTGTCATTCAGGATCCTGGAGCGACTCCTCCATCCCCCTCACTGGGTCTGAAACCACTGCAGCTGCTGGAAATCAAAGCTAGGGGGCGCTTTGGTTGTGTTTGGAAGGCCCAGTTGATGAGCGAATATGTTGCTGTAAAGGTCTTCCCTGTGCAGGTATGTCAATTAATTCAAAGCGTTTTCATATTGCGGACTGCTGCTTTGTAGCTCCAGTTTGTGTATTAACATTAGATTTGAGTCACAGTGCTGAGCATCCAGTTTGTTTTTTCCCACTAAGACTCCTAACCATCTATATTAATAAATATCCTGCCTGTTGCACAATATAACATTTTTTAACCCATTACTCAAGTTGGGACTTGTATTGCCAAATCTCGGTACTCTTAATGTCAATTGTCCCCGCAAAATATATATGTGTATGAAAATATAAGATATTGGACATTAACACGATAATAATAATAGCTATTATAGCAAATAAACAAATAAGACATGTTATAAATAACACTGTAAAACACTCTGCCTGAGGATCTGAGGCCGCGTCCCGACTCATAGAGCAGAAATTCAGCGTTGTAGCTAAGGGCCGAACCATCAACCAGGGAAGTGAGGCTTGAACAGGGCTGATATGATCTTCATCTATTTGTTGAAAGCCGAGCTGCTGCATTTGTACCCGCTAGAGGTGCAATATAACTTATAGTTACAATAGTCTAAATGAGAAGAGGAAGAAAGCATGGACGACCTTCTCGAGAGTCCAGAGGGAACGGCCTGATCTTTAAGATTCTCCTTAAATGGATACAAACATGACTGTAATTTAGTTTTTCAAAAGAAAGGTAGCTGTCAAATATCACACCCAGGTTTCTGGCTGCAGGTTAGACATTGAAGAGAATAATCCAAGATATACATATACCAATATAACTGATATTTAAGATTTTTGGTTCAAAATGTACAAATTGTGAAAGGAGTTATGTCATTTCTAGCTACCGTCTTTGTTGGGAACAGAAGTACAACTACCATTGCGTCGCTACTGTAACGGAACCCCCTTCGACCAGCCCTGCTTCCTTTTTCTTTCAATGCAGTTGTCAGGCAGTCACCACCACACACTTGACGTTTCACCCTTGTGTTGTGCCTGCATGCGCTAAGGGGCGGTCGTTGCTTTGTCCTCACACAACAACACTGTCATCATCTTCAGACTGTTTTTGTTTTTAAGATTATACAAGACAGAGGTCACAAAACCGACCAGTAAGACAACAGCCCCATTTGTTTTAGACCAGTGCTGAAGGCGGTTAAACGGTTTACGAGGTGCAAGTTAAAAACATTTTGGCTTTTGTTCAAAGATCACTGCATATATAGGTTTTTTGAAAATCAGATGCTTAGCACTGGGACTTGAATGTGATGTTTACGCACGAGAGGCACCAACTAGGGCTTTGTTTTAACGTATAAGAAAAGGACCCCATTGTTTTCCAACGTGCTTCTGCAAATCACGAAGACCTAAACACTTTCTGATCTGCTTGTGTGCTCATATAGGATAAGCAGTCGTGGCAAAACGAGCGGGACATATTCGTGACTCCGGGGATGCGTCATGAAAACCTCTTGCGTTACATCGCTGCAGAGAAGCACGGCACCAACCTGGAGGCGGAGCTGTGGCTTATCACAGAGTTTCATGAGAGGGTGAGTGTATATATATATATACATCTATATATATATCTATATATCAAATGCATGGTGAGGTGTATAGGGCATCTGTGTTTACTAGAACTGCTGAACAGAAGAGCATCACAGCTTTTAATAAAGTGGATATTATTACTTATGGCAGGTCTGCAATACCCAGTATGCCTTAAAGTGATATAGTTGTGTTGCTTAGATGTATTCAGTGTATTACTTAAGCATGTAGTGTGAAAATAATACAGGTAATTATGTTGATTACTACGAGCATTAAAAATGACAGGAGTACTGTGTGTGTGCCTGAAATTATACTGTATGAATAAACACCTCCAGGCTACCAAAATATATTCTTCATTGGTTTTCACAACAACAGTATTAATACATCAAAACAGGATTAAACAATAATTACCATAACCACAAATGAAGCATTTGTGTAATGACATTCACGGCTTGTCCTCGAAGCACCTTCTATTCATGGCAGCGGCACAAACATATTTAGTTCCGGTAATTGTCTGGGTGCCATCTGTGCATGCGTCATCTGTTTGGTGTAATTTTTTTAATGATAATTTAAGCTATATTGTTTGAATTTAGACGCCTCTGGTAATTCTTTCAGACGACGCTACTCGGCTGGCAAATGAAATGAAACGCAGGACCAAAAACAATCTATTCCAGGGTTATGGTCGGCTAACTCTTTGGACGCTAACAGCTGATTTTCTGAGAAATGTATTCAATTCGATTGTTGTGCAGTTATTATTCCTTGTTCCTGAATTGTGTGTGTGTGTGTGTGTGTGTGTGTGTGTGTGTGTGTGTGTGTGTGTGTGCGCGCGCGCGCATGTGTGTGTGTGTGCGCAGGGCTCGTTGACAGACCACCTGAAGGGTAACAATGTGAACTGGGGTGAACTGTGTCACATAGCAGAGACCATGTCCCGCGGCTTGGCTTACCTCCATGAGGACATTCCCAGCTACAAGGGAGAGGGGCCCAAACCCACCATTGCACACAGGTAGAGAACACAAACTGTTCCCGGCTTTCCTGAATCTCTAAACACTAAAACATGCGTTTGATTTTTAGTACTGCTGTCTTCTGCTTGTGCATGATTTAGTAATTTTGCCCTTAAAATCCATGGGTTAATATACAAGACTAAATTTGTCCTGAAATGAATTTTCCAGGGACTTCAAGAGTAAGAATGTGATGGTACGAGATGATCTGACTGCAATCATTGGAGACTTTGGGCTCGCTGTACGATTTGAACCAGGAAAACCTCCAGGAGACACTCATGGCCAGGTATCACTTCTCCACTGGTTCTGATTTCCACATTGGCACGCTGATGCAAGTCTGAGTAATTGTCACCTGATTTCTCTGAAATGTTCAGAAAGGACTCCTATGGGTTACTGGGTTTCATATTTATACTTTATTTATTTTGTGGAGGTTTTCCATTTTGACATAAAAAAGTTTCTTCTGTTGATCAGTGTAAAAAAAACCAGCTTCAATAACCCAAGGGACAAATGTAAAAGTCGGTGTTTTTATAAGTTAAGAATAATGCTCATAGAGGCAGTTTCCCATTGAAGGGCTTGACATTGAGAAATGGTAGTAATAAGTCATCCGAAAATAATTCAAAAGTGTTTATTCTGGCTGCAGAATAACTTGATAAGTTTGGAGATTGCTGCTTTAAGTAGAGCCAGTTTACCCAGCAGCAGAGCAGGGTGCTGTTTGATACTAAAGCATCGGTTTGTGTTGCTTTAACTGGAATGCTTGGCAACATTAAGTGCCTGATCAGACCTGATTTGCGGTTTGCTGCAGCTTCTTTTTTTAATTATTGTTGCTAGGCAACCACCGAAAGAGCACTAACGTTAGCTTTAACACCCCGAACCATGACCTTAAAACCATGAGCTCTCTGCTACCTAATTCATTTGAAAACACACACATATTGGCCGAGCGGCACAAGTACCGTATTTTCCGCACTATAAGGCGCACTGGATTATAAGGCGCACCTTCAATGAATGGCCTATTTTAGAACTGTTTTTATATATAGGGCGCACCGGATTATAAGGCGCATAGAATAGAAGCTACTACTGTTCAACAACCCACTGTTCGAGTTTGTCCTCTAACTGTGGCCATCTCGCTTTGTTCCCTCGGAAACTCTTTTTAGTCTTCTTTACTTGGCACAGGTCATCTTCTTGCTTCCTCCACTTCCGTACCATTGATTCATTAATGTTGAATTCTCTCGCTGCTGCTCTATTCCCATGTTCGGCTGCGTAGCTGACAGCCTTGAGTTTGAACTCAGCGTCGTAAGCGTGTCTCTTGAAAGGTGCCATTTTGGGGTCTTTATACACACAAGTGGTGTTGGACTAGGAGTAAGCACAGTACCGGTGTTTACCGCTATTACTTCGGCGTACCGCTATTACTTCGGCGACGCCCCTGACTACGATAGCCGTAATGCTGCAAGTGGTGCGGCTTTGTAGTTTACCAGTCGTACTGAAACATTTTGACAGAGCGCCGTGTACAACCAGTATAGATCAACCAATTAACCAATTGATCCATATATAAGGCGCTCCGGATTACAAGGCGCACTGTCGTTTTTTGAGAAAATTAAAGGCTTTTAAGTGAGCCTTATAGTGCGGAAAATACGGTACTCTTCAGGAACACCATTCATGCCCATACTCACGTATTCTTGAATCCATTGTCCTGCCAGGTGGGTACGAGGCGTTACATGGCTCCAGAGGTGCTGGAGGGAGCCATCAACTTCCAGCGAGACTCCTTCCTGAGGATAGACATGTATGCTATGGGCTTGGTGCTGTGGGAGCTGGTGTCTCGCTGCACAGAGGCAGACGGTGAGTCAAACGGTGCAGGAATGCTGCTTGGCCCACAGGTTGAAAGGTCACTGCTTCAGGCTGACCTAATAAACAAAGGATTAGTTTTCGTTTTTGCCTGGGAAAGCCATCCGTTCTAGGTTAAAAGGTGTAATGTGGGGTAGTTTAAACAGAGTGCAAGTTTCAGCGTTTCAAAATCCAGATGCTGCACTGTTTTCTTAACCTCTTTGTGTGACGCTTTCCATCCTGTGCCCCTTACTGCCCCCCCCCCTTCAGGTACAGTTGGAGAGTACATGCTGCCGTTTGAGGATGAAATAGGCCAGCATCCCTCCCTGGAGGATCTGCAGGATGTGGTCGTGCACAAGAAGATGCGTCCAGCCATCAAGGACTGCTGGCTCAAACATCCTGTGAGTAACAGTGGAAGAATAGCTCCCGCAGTTTCAACAGCAATGCCAGGATATCATGCATCCTTTTTTTTTTCCAGTGAACACAGCTCGATGATCTGAGGTCATAAACAGTTCTCTGAATTAGTTATGTTTTTGTTGTTGCTATATCTTATATCTACACCTTATGGTCACAGGAAAAGTGAGAGATTTCTGTCCTATGACAAAAAGAAGTGCCCTTTTTTAATAAAGTAAGAAAATAGAACCTCAGACTTCCTGTGCTAAAACTTCTGCTTTGCGGCTACAGGGTCTGAGCCAGATGTGCGAGACCATCGAAGAATGCTGGGACCACGACGCAGAGGCGCGATTGTCTGCTGGTTGCGTGGAGGAGCGCATCGGCCAGATCGCCAGGACGATCAGCAGCACTACCTCAGACAGCCCCGTGTGCATCGTGATGTCGCTCACCAACGAGGACCTACCTCCCAAAGAGTCCAGCACCTGAACGGGTGACCACCATCCATCTGAGCTCCTGACTTTTTATTTTTCAAATCCAAACTCGGCGGATCTCCGTGAATATTTAAAAACATTTTTTTTTTTAAAACAACTACTAGCAACTTGAATGCAGCTGCTATTTTATCCCACACTGGTAATTTTTTTTATTTTTTTATTTTTTTTGGGTGTTGAAAGTCAGATCTTACTAACACATCCATCTGCTGTAGTTTTGAAGTAGTAATAAGTTATGCGATGGGCACATCTGATAACACCCGTGTGTCGAATCTTAAATGTCGTCATTACCTCATGTATTTCTTTCGTGTTAGTATATTTTTTTATTACCTCATAAGTTGTTATCTTGGTCGTTTTCCTGTCTTGGTCATGATCGTCGGCGGCCAAATTAAATGAACTTTTGCTCCAAACCTCGGACGACGTGCTGCACACCTCGGAGGAACCGTTTTGAGACTGTTAGACAAAATACATTCATCTTCCTCAGGGGTCGAAGCTTCTTGATTTCTAAACTCGAGTGTGCTCCCTTATTTTAAACCTGTGAATGCCTCAGAATGGAAAAAAAAAAGATTTTAAAACATCGGAGCACAGATGTGTTTATCGCAAGAGAGGAGCTAAAATGGGAGCTGAGCAGTAATATTGGACATTTGCGACTTTTTGAAGATTTGGGACGATCCTCTTGTCCCCGGGGAGCTACCTCTCAGGTATCCAGTGGGCTTCTTTGGAACATTTTCTCTAAGTTGAGAGCCAAGCTATCCAGCTAGCTATCATGGACATATTCCTGGATTCTATTTTGTTTTTTTAATTGTAGAAATTCAGAGTTACTCCTTTGCCAGTGCCAGGGGCATTGACGGATGCTGTCTGGAGTTCCAATGTTACACATTCTTGATTTTAACTGTCTTGTCTGTGAATGATTGTGTGTGTGAATGATTGTGTGTGTGAATGATTGTGTGTGTGAATGATTGTGTGTGTGTGAGAATTTGAAGACTAAATGATGTGCGATGGATAGAGTGTGTTTTTAAAGTAAGAAGCATGGGCAGATAGTTGGGGTTTATCCTTGCGAGGGCCATACTTGAGTAAGCAACATGTCTGTTTTTCATTTTCATGGGTGTTTCTTCAATAGACTCAGTCGGACACCAGTCCCCAGATACCTCAAGTCACTGTACATCATGCAAGGAGAGCTCAAATGGTTGCCTTTGTCTCAAATGCAATGCCATAGTTGTACCATAACACGAATACCATACATTGAATGTCCGTTATGCTGCTGTGACTATTCCAGGATACTCAAGGATTTGTAGATGTACATGTATTCTTTGTTGATATAACGCTAATGATATTATTGTGAGGCTAATATTCTGTTTTTGTGTGTTTTTGTTTTTTTGACTGGGTAAGCCCTCAGCTGCTTACTCCTCCAGACTGACCTCAGATATTCTGACAAGTACCTCAGGCTTTTTCTACAATGTATATCAAGTTGTGTTATGTATTTTATTGTGTTTTAGTAGTTGAGATATTTTATTGCCGGTTGGGCCTCTTTGTCTGTGTTCTTTTATTTTATTTTATTTTTTTTCAAAAGAGCCTGACCAGTCGTCGCGGTGTTAATGCTGTACAAACCTAAAAAGAAGAGAGGCAGATTCTTGTAAATAGACCTGTTCACACAGTTGCCGAACACTAATCTGTTTTGTTTTTTTTAATTCAAAAGCAGGGCATTATTGTTTTCATTTCACAGAAACAGAAAGGGATTTCTCAGTTCCACCTCTACATATTTAACAGTCATTTTGACAACCAGCCCTGTGATATTTTATATATATATATTATTTTTTTTTCCAAGAATGGTAGTTGTGTTGCTGATTTATATTAATAACGGTATCAGTTCCTCTGAATCAGAAGCTGTGTAGGTAGCACTTGCATTAGAAAGCTTAGTGTATATATATATATATATATATATATCAACAACAAAAAAATCCCTGATGGTTAGGTGCTGGCGGCTTCTGTGATTGGCCACTTGTTAGAAATGCCCGTTTTTACAGTATTACCTCAATAATTAACCCGCTGATGTGATGTTCAGAGCTGTTCGGTGATATTTAAACCACGTTGGACGACACACAGGCTCATCTGTTGTGCTTTGGTAGGTGTTGTGAAAGATGGTGATTTTAACAGTGCTCTGTGACGCTTGCTCCTGTGCAGTTTTGGTAAAGAACTTGTGGGTTGGGTTGGGTTCGGGGGAGGGGGGAGAAAAACCATCAATCCATACCGACTATTATATATAGAATCATCAACTCTGTGATTGAGTGATAATGCATCCCCATTGCGAATCATGTAAACAGTGGCATGTGCGTGGTCCAAGAGTCCAGCAATATTTATTATACAGCAATAGTCACTTGAATATCGTAGTTTAAGTAGTTAAACTCAGATGTGACTTAGCAGTTTTCTTTTGTGGATCAATAAAGTGCATCTCATCACACCTGGATCATGTTCTGATGGAGACACATGTTAAAACCTCTTAAACGAATAAATGCTGTGGGTTTAATTTCTGTGACAGCTGAACGTGACCCAGGTGCTTTCACATATTGTGCCAGAAAAACAACGATCACGAAGGAAAATCTGCCGTGACCGTTCGTTACCTCCAAATGCTGTCTTACACCCAGCTCTTCTGAACAGAAAAACCTGTTACCTCGTGCAGTACCTCGTTAGTAACACTAACAAGGAGTCAGTCTCATCTTCAAAACAAAAAAAGGAAAAGAAAAAAAAAGAATTGTGTATATATTAACTTGACAAATGTAAAGGGTTTCTTCCTTTTCATGTGTGAATCAAAAACATTTTTTATTTTTTATTTGCAGTCAACATATTGCTCATTTGTCATTGTGTGAATGGGGGTTTGACTGAATAGTGTGACCTTCCCTGTTTATGTGAACTGTGTGTGTGTGTGTGTGTGCGCGCGCTTGCGGCGTGTGTGGGTGTATGTTGGTTGGTTTCACTAAAACAGTACGAATGGTAACTTTATCTGTGTGTTGAGATGCTTAGAAATATAAACTAGATGAGAATACATCCATCTTTTTGTATATTGAAATAAAGACAAACACTGATTAACCATGCAAACGGAAGTCGTTTTTCTTCAGTTCACATCAGTTTCACCATGTTTAACTTTCATGACACATCACCTCAACATAATACAAAATAATTAAATTACAAAAAGATTTTTAATGCCATTAGCAAGACATGTATTAGAGGCTTTACTGTTTAATGCAAAACCTTTGTAAGTGCATGTTTTGTGACTGTTCTGCATAGAATTATACAGTAGTGTTCTATGGTTACATATAGACACTAGATGGCAGCAGTGGTGCCAGTAGTTTGGTTTAGTACATTTTTTTTGTCTGGGGCAATACCCATTCATCAAAACTGATCAATTGGTATTGCACCAGACAAAAAAACAGACATTGATCAAAACTCTGATATATATTCTACAATTGTTGGCAAGACTTACGCATGTGAGTCAAACATGTCACTATTATTGCAGAACAGGAACAGAACAAACATATTCCATACATTCAAATTGTGCCCAGTTTCAATATACAGAAATAATATGTCAAAGGTAATATGGTACATATATTAGTAGCCTATGTAGTTTAGGCTACTACTAAGGACAATAAATTGACTGTACTACAGCATTGGAGGCTTGTTTTTAACCAATATAACAGATGAGAAAGGATCTATTTCAGCTAAGAAATGGTGAATGCTTAGCATACCTGCTCTTTGTGTCAAAGAATGCTGCCATTGAAACAAAAGGTAATCCAAGTGGGCGCTAGTGTATATTACAAGACCAATGGAAGGTGTGGCAGATTTGTCACACAAATGTTACAAATGTGAAATGCTGATTTATTTAGCTGTAAAACAGCACTATGTTCTTGCAAAGGTTTGACTACATATTTCAAAATATATGTGGTTTTTCGAACAATCCAATTTAAGTTGACATGGTTTGCCTCTTAATGTCACATATTTTTCGGCGAGATAGAAAATGACAGTTAGTGTCCTCTCAAATTAAAGACGCATTCAATAAAAATCCAATAAACTTTCTCGGCAAGTTAATGATAACTAATCCAGTTCGATGAGTTGACTAAACGTCCGCCCGCACCGGAAGGCATCACGGCTCCATTCCTTTTAGAAGATCTGGCCAATCACAACGCGTCTGCGCCGTCACGTGGCAAACCGACTACTAAATTACGATTGGGTTGAGAGTTGCTGATTGTAGGCTACTCTCCGATGTACAGTCACTCAAAGCGGGTTAACCGTTCTTGGAGTTTATGTGTTTTTTCTAACGGAAATGCTTCTGCGTTTTCACGGTGTCCATTAAATAAACTTTTGTTCGGATATCGTCGCCATTATGTCAAAAAACTGCAGAGCAGGTGAGCGTAAAGTAGCGTTTTTTAGCTTTGCCAGCAAAGCAGTTTATGACCCCGGTCGACAGCATCACTTTTTCACTGTAAACCGTCCGGAAAAAGACAAGTTTCAGGTTGTTTTGAATTTTAAAAAAAAACTTTCACTGGTTTTGTAATTAATTCCCGAGGCTTTTCTTTGTTTTTGTTTTTTTTAATGTGTTTATTTTTGTTAGTATTTACTTTTTATTGCATTGTGTGGCAATGCTTTTATGTATTGACAGATAACGTTATTTTACAAACAAGCTACCGTTCTAACCATTGAAACGTTAAAAGGAAACTTTCAAAGACACTGACTGACAAAACGGACCGTAAAAGAGTAAATAATGCTTGTTGTAAACTCTAAGCTTCACTAAAGTTTCTCTCAAAAACAGATAAGTCACGTGAGTGGAAAGTTGAAGTGAACTAACGTTAACAGTTACAGGACACATGGATTTGCTGTGTTGATTAGATTTTGTATTTTGAGTACATACTTTTGGTTCTCTGTTATTACTTTATGTGTAAATTAACAGGACTTTAACAATCCAGTAATCCAGTAGATTCATGAGTTTAGGAAGGAGACTCTCAGACACACAATGGCACACATCATTTTTACCCATCATTCTCTGTCTTTCAGCCAAGGACCAGGGGCAGCGTGTTAAGTTCAGAGGCTAGCTGGCCTGCTGTCCCCCTTGTGAAGGGTGGCAGCTGGAGTGGCTATTGGGATGCTACGGAAGAGCAGCAGCAGTAGTGGTGGTGGTGGCGGTGGCGGTGGGACTAAGCATACCCAGGGTCTGCCACGACATCACTCCAAGCCTCACGTAGGATCTCTGTCAGCTGGATCCACCAAGACCTGGGACATGGGCCGCAGCTCCAAGAACCCAAATCCTCTGAGCAGCATGGGACTGACGTCCCGCCTGGTAGGGGCACCGGGAGTGGATCCGGAGTACGTAATGCATCTGGTGAATGATGTACGGGGGTTCGCCGATGTGCTGCTCAACCTCAAGGAGGCCTTCCAGTGTCCAGGTGAGTCCAGCTTCAGGGCGAGCTGGAATGCGGAGGTGATTGTGCAGGAGCTGTAGAGGTCAGGGAAGTGGAGTACCATAAAGTGACTTGGTTGAAGAAAGAAAATCCACATGCGGATACTTATGACTCATAATCAATGTTGCATATTCAGTGGGATTTAGGGGTTATAAGCTTATGAGATTTTTTTGCATCACATTCCACTTGCCTACCTTTACTTAAGTCTGGAATTCTTACACATCTTAGATATTCTTTCATTGAACCCCAGATAGTGTGGGGAACATGTTGCATTAAGGTGATGGTCGAGGGAGCAATATCGTGATAACGGCAATACTTGTCCCACTTGAGTAAGTCCTCAACTTAGAGGAGAGGCTACGGATTTCCCCTTGTGTAATCGCTGACCATTTTTTAGAAAGGAGCCATGGATGCTATAGATAGCTAAAATTCTCTGCCAGCAAATTCCATTGTAGATACACTGGGAATGTATTGACAAGCATTCATGTTGTCTTTGTTTGGACAGTTGTCCACAGGAATCACAGTTGCAAAACTCACCAACACACTTTTTAAACAGTGTACCAGTCAACATTTCCTTTCACTCGTAGGTAGTATGTATCACACCGACACCGTCCCTCTTCTGCTTTGATGCCTTCTCGACTAACACCCACAAAACACAATCATGGCAGTATAAAGGACTAAACGTCCAGGAAGGCTCTAGTGTGTTTTTGCAGTGTTACAGATAGATAAGTAAAGCCCAAAGTTTGCCATTGTGACAGACGGCCAGAACCACCTGTGTAGTGTCAGTTCACAGTGTGATAACGGGCCTCACCGCTAACATGCTGGAGCACTTGCAAATGTTGTTGGCCTCTTAACATCTACACAAACCCACACACTGCTACACGTTAGCGTGGCAGACACCACAGCAGACATAGGTTACTTACTCTCTCTCTGTTTTTCTCACATGGCTTTGCTCTTGTTTGCAGACGCACTCAAAAACTCCACCCACACAAAATGCTCACATAGTGTTTAACAAGGCTCCACAGAAGCATTTACTGATAGTAGCAAACTTACTGTTATCACATAAGCAGTGTAGTTTTTAAGTCATTAATCATTTATTCTATTAGTTGTCAAAAAATAATGATCCCTGAACAAAGTTTTTGTTTTGTCCACTTGGAAACATTAGATTTTTAATTAACTTAATCATTTAAAAACTGATGTAATATGTTTATCATTTATTGTCATTGTGAGCAGACACACCCTCTGATTTAGCATTTTGTTGTCTGTATTACTCTAGCGGTATCACCGACAGAGGTATTTCCTTCTGTGGAATCAATAATGTGAGGCTTCCACTATTACTACTCCTGCTATTCTGCTAAAAGACACATACCTCCACACAGATTCACACATGCTGGGGTCCCACTGCAGGTCTGGTAGTGGGAGGGAGTTGTTTAGCCATTCCTCTAGCTGGAGGAGTGAGGCCCCTGTGAGTGAGCCCAGGCTTGCGTCGTGCTGAGTGTCTGAGCCATCACAAAAACATTTGGGATATTCGCCTCCCCTTAAACAAGAGCTCTTATTGAGCAGGTGGGGATGACATCATACCATATGACCCTATAATGTCATTCAGCTCTTTGTGATTTGGACCAGTGGTTTATTTTTCTTATTCTTTTCTCGGAGACACAAGCATCTCAGTGCAACAGCTCATGCAAGATGCTGCTACTGTGGTTTGCCTTCCAGTCAATGGTAAACATTGAGTCATTTTCATTACTCATTTGTAACAAAGACTGGTGGAAGATGGTCGCAGTTTAAATCAAATCCAAGTCAACAGTCTGCCTAGCTTTAAATATACAGTGATCTGCAACAGTAAACCAACCCTGAAATATGTGTTTATACATCCATAATTAGATTGCATTAATGATTTTACTGTTTTCGTCTAAGGGGTCAGGGAGGTTACACAGTCTGGGAAGAGCAACAGTCAAAGTCTGCTTTCTATTGATTTAAAACAGGCTATGTCCCTATGTTGGTAAAAGCACATTAGATAATATCATCCATAGCAGTCTATTGCATTGTCCATATTACTAACTTAAAAGGGAGTCAAAATTCTAAATAATTAAACTCAAATCCACATGAAAAATGCTTCTTCTTTGTTAAATTAAATTAAATAGAAAATGTCATGTATGGCAATTACATTTAGCCTGTAGGTGTCTAAGACATTTTGTTTCATTTTCATTTAAAAAGCTGCATTTTACATAAGTGACCACCATAGTGGTTGTTCCTCTTTTAATGACTACATAGTAGCATAATGGAGATGTAAAATGTGTTTCCTAAAAGAAGATAAGCAGCAGGTCTCAGTATGTGGTTGATGAAAGCTGCAGGAATAAGGTAATGAGGGAAGAGGTTAGCGAGGCGCATGCCAGATCTCGTGTTATTCTTTTCATATTTGGAAAGGTCTGTCACTGGAGTACAGTGTGAAACCGAGACAACGCGTACGCCTGTAAGGATGTGGCAGCGTTGTACTCCTCGCAGTGTGTGTCTCATAGCTCCTCATACAAAGAAAACAGAGCTTAGCTTGGAAGATGCTTATTTTTCCTCTTCAGACACCTGCCAGTTCTTTAGCTGGAGGCCCATGCACGCAGCATGTTCGGTTGACAGAAACCCACAGGGGGAACTCCATAAGTGACCATAAGCTTGAGTTGACTAGACCCACCACGTTCGCACCCACAA